TCAATAGCAGAGGTAGCTCCTCGAAGGCGGCTCTCGTAAGTACTCACATTGTAACGTATGACCTTACCATAAGACCCCCTGCCCAAGATCAAGACCAGATATGCTATCGTCACAGTAATGTTTAAGAACCCGTCCCCTTCGACCCACTTTGCGTTGTTGACAATTCTTGTCTTCTGCTCTGTTTCTTTCTGTTGGAGTGTTCATTCATCCTACATCCTTGTTTTGGTTGGGTAACCGGAAAACGGGGTTTTAGGGTAAAGTTTACTAAAACCCCTTTACCGGTTTCCCGTAACCGTGCGTGTGTGTGTGTGTGTGCGTGCGTGTGTGTGTGTGTGTGTGTGTGCGTGTGTGTGAGTGCGCACGCATGAACCATGCCTGCTTGGCTCCCTGACTGTCTGCTTGATTGCTTGATTGGTTGCAGCTACTCCTCGTCCTCCTCATCCTCCTCCTCATCCTCCTTGTGTTGGCTCTCCTTGAAATAGTAGCCCTCCTGCAGGGATGGAAGGAAGGGGTGGGTGGGTGACATGGAGTCATCAAGCAACGAAGCAGGTCAGGTACAATGATGACGAAGTCCTGACGCGCCTTTCTCATGACACTGGTGCACCGCCATCAACACACACCCACATATCTTCACACGGGCAGACAGACAGACAGACACACACACACACACACACACACACAGACACACACAGACATACACACACACACACACAGACACACACACACACACATTCACACGCACCGCTGCTCGCCAGCTGCCAAAGTCTGTGGGGTAGGGGAACGCGCACACCTCCTTCTGCCCAGCGATGGGGCGCCCAAACGTGTGCTGAGCAAGAAGAATTCAAACAACGGGAACAGAGAAACAACACGCTGCTGATGTGAGATTCTGCAATCATTTCAAGGGGCTGTGATGCACAAGCGGCTGCCTACCATCAAACTACAGCCAACGAAATAGCACCCGAAACACCCCCCCCCCCACAGACACACGACACGACACCTTGTTGGTGTGGTGGAGGTAGTATCCCGTGACATCGTGCTTGAACTTGACGGCGGCGTCGCGCAGCCACACATCCCCGCGGCTGCACTCCACGCTCCAGTTGTCTCCTTGATGGAAGGTGTGGGGGAATGGGATGATGATGATGATGACGATTATGTGTGTGCATAAGTGTGTGTGTGTGAGAGAGAGAGAGAGAGTATGTGTGTGTGTGTGTGTGCGTAAGTGTGTGTGTGCGTGTGCGTGTGCGTGTGAGTGAGTGAGTGTGCGAGAGTATGTGAGCGTGTATGTGTAAGTGAGTGTGCGTGTGTGGCGGTGTGTGTGATCTGAGTCAACTTTAACCTCAAACATAAAGCAGACACACGACAATACAACCGTGTAAACTATCAGCAATACCTTCATCATCGTTTTCCTTTGGGCCGAGTGCAGACACTTCTTGGTTGTGCGACAATGGTGATACAAATCCACTAGAAGGGGCGAACAGGCACCACCACACACAAGCGCAAAGAAGCGATCAAATAAGAATCAAGCGAAAATCATGAGTGCAGCAGCATGTTGTGCGCATGCCAGGACAAAGCAGCAGTGTGGACGACCTGATGTCATAATCAAACAAGGCACCGCACTCACGCGTGGGAATGGAGATACTTGTTGGTGTTGACGTGAAGCAGCCGGATGCTACTGCCACACTTGATCGGCTCCCTGCGCAAGGAGCCACACGAAGCACACGCAAAAAGGAAAATAAGGTTGCAAAAGGGAACGTGAGCAGTGGGAGCACGTACCTGGACCACGCAATGAACAACCACACACACACACACACACACACACACATACGCACACATACGCACACACACATGCAACTGCATGTCACTGCATGCATGCACGTTTCCCAAGCGCACATCACGACAACAAAACACGCCACAAACGCATACACGCGTACACATGCTCTCATGCAAACACAAAAACACACAAAAGCCACACATAAACACAACTCACGCGCATCGCACTCACCCTACAGTGCAGTCTTGTCCGACGGGTCCTGTGACTTGCCAGAAGCTGTTGCTATCGGTTTCATCCTTCACTGCTGTCACAGACTGTTGTCCAGATCCGCCACCGCGAGTCCCGTACGCAATTCCATGGCTGTGCAGCCTGTACTTGGAGTGCACATGCTGCAGCTTCAGTGCGCTCCCACACACGACCGCATCAAACCCTGTGTAGGTGTGTGTGTATGTGTGTGTATATGTGCGTGAGTGTTAGCGTGCGTGCGTGCGCATTGTGGGGTGAGATGCACGCGTTGGTATTGTGTGTCGGACACGTGCCACGCATACAAACAATGACAATGAAATCAAGCGTGCGGCTGCAGGCACCACGCTGTCATCGCCATGCAGCCCCCTCTCTCACTCACGCACACACACACACACACACACACACACACACACACCACCCACACACACACACACACACACACACACACACACACACACACACACACACACACACACACACACACACACACACACACACACACACACACACACACACAC